GATATTAATGCAGAAATGATTTCTAAGGCCGCGACTCTGCTCAAGTCATTCTTCAATCCTGGACCTGATGGAGTTCCATCTGTATTTTTGAAGAGACATATTGCTAGCTTGTTAATTCCGCTTCTTCGCCTGTTCCGAGTGTCTCTCTCAGGTGGCATATTTCCATCTTGCTGGAAATTTGCGCACATGTTTCCTGTCCACAAAAAAGGAAGGAAACGAGCTGTGGATAACTATCGAGGAATTACATCGTTAAGTGCCGTTTCGAAGCTATTCGAGCTAGTGATTATGGAACCGTTGCTGTCCCATTGCAAGCAGTATTTGAATGCTGATCAACATGGGTTTACTGTCGGCCGCTCTACAACTACCAACTTACCATACAACCGAAAGCATGTCGGATCGGGTTCAAACGGACGTTATTTATTCAGACCTATCCGCAGCATTCGACAAGTTGAACCATGCTATTGCGATTGCTAAACTCGGCAGGCTCGGTGTATGCGGTAATCTTCTGAGTTGGTTTCGATCATATCTTACCGGTCGGCAACTAAAAGTTGCCATAGGAGATTGCAGATCAGCTAGCTTCTTCGCCACATCAGGTATACCTCAGGGAAGCCACATGGGACCGTTAATTTTTATACTGTACTTCAACGACGTGCATCTGGTCATCGAAGCTCCTCGGTTATCATATGCAGATGACCTCAAAATCTTCCTACCAATCTGCTCCATTGCTGACTGTCACTTTCTTCAACGTCAACTGAATGTATTCGCTAGTTGGTGCAGGATAAACAGAATGGTAGTGAACCCAGCCAAATGCTCCGCTATTACGTTCTCACGAAAACAACAACCGATAATATTTAGCTATGACCTGATTGGCTCGACAATCGAACGCGTGAATCAGGTGAAAGGCTTGGGTGTGATCTTGGGTTCGCAGCTTTCATTCAAGCAACACATTGCATATGTTGTTGATAAGGCGTCAAGAACTTTAGGGTTCATTTTTAGGATAGCTAAAAACTTCACTGATACCTACTGTCTAAAATCTCTCTAATGTTCGCTTGTTCGATCGACGCTTGAGTATTGTTCAGCGGTTTGGAACCCAAACTACAACAACGGTGCCGAGAGAATTGAATCTGTTCAACGTCGCTTTCTTCGTTTTGCGTTGCGTTGATTGCCTTGGAACGATCCGTTTCGATTACCAAGTTACGAAAGCCGTTGTCAACTTATCGACCTAGAACTTCTCCGGACTAGAAGAGACACAAACAGAGCCCTAACCGTGGCCGATATCCTACAAGTAAGGACAGGTTGTGAGGCTATCCTGAGGCAAATTGACCTGAATGTTCAACCCCGACCGCTTCGTAATAACCTTATGCTAAGACTGCCTCTACGTCGCACAAATTATGGAGCGTATGGTGCGATTTGCGGACTGCAGTGAACATTCAACAGAGTTGCATCTGTTTTCGACTTTCATCTCTCCCGTGATGCGCTTCGTCGAAAGTTTTCTTCTGTTTTTCGCCGGCAGGAGTTAAGATATTGACTATAAGATATACGTTTTTTAATGTTTTTTTATGTTATGACCATGCTTGAATGTATTTTTTTACCATAGTTGATAAGGTTAAAATCATTGCGGCTTCATCCAGCCTGTTGATGTAAAACAACAATAAACAATAAACAATAAACATAAAAATAATATTTGAAGTATCAAGATGGTTTTCGGGAAACCATTCAGATCAATTACATACCGAAAACTGCATTAGTTCTTTGTTGGACTTTTTTTTCAATAACAACATTTCAAGCTGGTCATCAGTAACAGTGATAGATTCTCTTCGTCGACTTTCTCTTTACATCCTCACAGCCATGTTGCCAGCTATTTGAGGTATGGATGCTAGCCACTACGCTGGGGTCCCTTCCCTTACGAGATACTAATTGATTAAGTCTAAATCATCAAACATTTATAGCGGTGCCGGTGGTGTAGTGGTAAGTGTGATTGCCTCTCCCCCCAAAAGGCCTGGGTTCAATCCTAGTCGGCGTCATCGGAATTTTCTGAGACATACCATCTCTGATCAAGTAAAGCCTTTGGCCCCGGTCTATGAGTTGATGCGTCAATAGGTAGGGTCCAGGTGTGAGAGCTGCCTCCCCATCTGTAGCATTGGTACTCAGTACGGAAACAACCCAAGTAACCAACAAGCCCGTTAATCGCCCTTTTTGGTATATGAGCCTGCTATACGATTGATATAAAGTTCGGAGACCCTATATTTACCTTATATCGCAAAAAGGGCGATTATCGGGTAGTTGCGGGCTTGGTGGTTACTTTGAAAGATCAACAAAAAACAAATCAAGGAAAAAAATCAAACATTTATACCTTTTACGTGGTTTTTCCTCTTAGTAATACTTTCAGTAATTCACTTTCACTAATTCACTTTCACTATTTTACTATCACTTTAAGCTATATCTATAACAGATGTCTGTTATAGTTTAAAGCGTTAGTGAAAGTAAAATAGTGAAAGTGAATTAGGGACGGTGAATTAGTGACAATGAAAGTGATTCAATAGTAGTGGAATTAAAAGGAAAAACAACGTAAAAGGTATGCAATTATTCATCTAAAACGCTCATCAGTCAATTTAGATCAAACATTTATTGGGTGTGCCATCAGAACGACTTCATTTCTTCCGTTAGGCAACTTTTCAGTCGATTTTTTTTAGAACTATAAGTCACTATTTGGTCACTTATTTTTTTTTTTCAAAATGGCCACTAACATCATTGTTTTTGACAGCCTTGATCGCTACCAGTCCTGAAATTAGAAATCATGATAAACATATTGTTTTACTAAAAATGACCACACATCCCAGGCTAGGATTGTCCAGTCTATTTACTTCTGGATGAAAATTAATAAATTTTTAGCCGTAGGACGATATCAGTCTTCTTCCTCTTCTTATTCGCATTTCAAGCTTATTGCTTAGCGCATATTAGCTTATTGCGTTCTCTCAACTTAGTGTTCTAAATGAACTTCCACAGTTATTAATTGAGAACTTTCGATGCCAATAACAATGCATGAATTTGTATATTGTTTGCAAGCATAATGATACTCTATGCCCAGGGAAGCCGAGAAAATTTCCAACCCGAAAGATTCCCTCGACCGGACCGGGAATCGAACCTGCTGCCTCCGGCTTGGTAATACCGTGCATTTAATGACTAGACTATGAGGCCCCTGATACCAGTACATTAGGCTTAGGAAGTGTCCTTTTTGAACCCTACCGGAACCTGCGGGTATCCGGATGAAGTCAGATCCACCTGTTGGTCCATGGTATGATCACCGACGAAACGACATGCTACTGGAGCATTTCGTTTGTCCGCAATTCGATTTGTCAAATGAGCGATTAGATCTGTCCAACGGGCGATCAGATCTGTCAAATGAGGTGAGACGCAAACCAAGTCGATATAAATTTTACGTGTGCTCATGATATGTCACGATAGAATGAGTAGATGGCGCTAGTGTTTAACGTATTTTAAATATGGCGTCTTGGGCAAGATTTTGAAAGTAGCTTCTATGAGCTGTCACATCATTTCGTCGGTGGTATGATGTTTATTTACTTCTGGGTGAGAAATCAGAAATTTTGAGTCAGTACATGAAGGATTGGAAGTTTCATTTTTGAGGCCCTGCCGGAACCGGTTCCGGGTATCCAGATGTGGCCAGAACCACCTGTTGGCCTATGGTACATCCTTAGAAATAACTAATTTTATACGTGACGGAATCTATCGGTGACATAAAAGATGAGACGTAAACAAACATGTCATGTAATGTAATATGTATATATATATTTCACGACTGTTATGACTCAAATTTATGTCAAAATTGACGCTCGTACATGGCACTCTCAGAGCACCTAAATTTACATGAATTTGTTTATGATGTTTATTTACTTCTGGATGAAAAATCACAAATTTTGAGCCTAAGGACGGTACCAGTACATGAGGTTTTGGAAGTGTGCTCTATCGGAACCGGTACTGGGTAGCCTAAATGACAAAATTGATTAAATCGAGGGCAGGGTGCCATTTAAAGAACCTTAATTTTTCATTTGAAGCCAATAGACCAAGAATCGATTCAAAAATAGATTTTTGGGAGCGAGTTGCAGTTTGAGTCTTTTTTGACCCGCTAATGCACGATGTGTAACTTTTTCCTAATGCATTAGGAAGGTTAATTAATATTTTACTATTTCATATAAGTCAGAATGTCAAAGTAATGCTCTTTGAATTTTAATGAGGATTCACTTCCAATTGTCCTCGACTAAAATAGTTAATCTTTCCACAGAGTTCTCTTTAGAATTTTCATCGATCAATCGTCAAGATTGTATTCCATTTGAATTAATTTTGGCTTCCCGTGGACTAAAATATGTCTCTTAAATTCCCGTTCCCTGAATGGTTTGCATTAATGAAGAGTTCAGTTCGAATTCAACTTTTGAATTCGAATTAAATTTTTGAAAAAAAAAATCGCTAAAAATTATATATGAAAACTTGGAATTTTCGCAGAACGTATCAATTGTTGAAATAAAAAAAATCTGATGAAATTCTTCTCCGATTTCAACCGAAACTACTTCCTCAATTCACATAATTTTTGATACATTGCTCAGTTGGATTTTTCTTTGAATTCTCCTCTAAATTCCCATGGACTGAACTAAAAAAAATAGAAATTTATTCCATTTTTTTAGGAACTATCACCAAAATTCGCCACCTAAGAACTCACTAGGATTTTTCCTCATAAACTCAGTGACAATCTCCTCAGATATTCGTTGAAATATTCTTCCTTCCTACTCCGATTCCAAGCGTCTTTCCAACCTTAAAAGGCCATGAATACCGACTTTTACTGATTTTTGTAGTACAAAACTGAGATCATCGATTTAATTTTAAATCATTTATCTTCAATATTTTTCCTCTCTGGATTGCTCTCAGCTGTTTAAAAGCATGAGAGTTTAACTGATGTTCTGATACCTGATTTATCCACCGATTGATGTTTATCTTCAAATGTTTACAGCACTCATTTAAATACAAGCATAATTCAACAAAGCAATCGTTTATGTCACTCAATTACGAACCGCAAATTCAAATTGCATTAAATATTAACATAATTCACAGAGAATGGTTCACGACGGGTGCATTAACAGATTTTTTATAGATGTCAAACGACGTTTAATTTGTGTTTATTTACAATGCTTTATTAATTCATTTCATTTTGGATTTTTTTTTTCTGCACCTAACAGTACAATTATTGCCACATAATTAATTCTAGTATATACAGTTAGTGTATAAAATCACATTAGCATACGCTGCAACAGGCTAAAACAATATCATACGCAGTTACAGGCATTCAATTGCACACATACACAGTTATCACACATCTTACATTGTTGTAAAATCATTCACCCAGGTTCTTCAATTTTGAATCGAGAAAATTAGTCAGCGTGATCTCGGCTTGAACAGTTCTACCTAAAACAGCTTAAAACAAAGCCACGACGTCGGCGGCGGCGGTTATGGGAATGTCACCACCGGCACACCGATGATGACGACTGTGCAAACATTGGCCCCCGAGCTGTGGCTTCAAATATTTGCAGTTCGTATTTTAGAAGCATCGCCGGTGATGTATGGCTCGGATTTGGCAGGCTGGCGGGTGGTGGTTGGTGGTTGGCTACTAGAAAATGAGTAAATAGAGTGCTGAGGGAGGACTTCTTCACGACAATGTGAACGCTTGCCCCCGACCACTTCCGTAGTTGAAAAATCCCGCAGCGGTACTCGGGCAATCATTTCAGCTGGACCACGTTGGTGAGTTTGAGCAACTTTTTCGAACTGTACGGACAGCTTGGCCACAGGTGCGAGCAGCCCATCGGGGTAACCAGACTGTCGCCGGCGTCCCGCAACAGTTGACCCATGTGCGCTGCAAAGTGCCACTTGGTAGGGCTCACTGCCATCGTCAGCGATAACGTCGTGGACCTGGGTGAGAAAAGAAAGACGATGGTTAGTGTTCTGTTGTTTTTTGAGGAAATTTGCTATGTCGGGTTGGGTATTGGCTTGTTTCGTTGAATATCACACTCTTTCATTTCGCACGTTGGTAACCATGCTAACTGGGATGCATACATTTCGGCGCTTCGCTACGACGAATTTTCTTACAGAGTTGCCATATACAGTGTATCTCGAATTTGAGCAAAAATCTGAATGGGATTTTTTTTTTGAAAGACTGTGAGTAGATAGATTTTTGAAATCTCGGCTAGTGGTTCAACAACTTTTTATTGATTTATCAGTATAACTTTGGACTTTATTGGCAGAGTATGTATGAAGTTTGAGTAATTTCAGTAAAACGGTATATTTTCAACTTTTTTCATAGTAGGCGGATTTTAGTAAAATTAGCGGCATTTTAAAGATCTTCATTATGACTACAGATTAGCAAAACAATATGTTTGGTACATTGTATTTCAAGAAAATGTGTTTTTTTTTTTGGAAATCTAGCTAAATAGCTCTAACTTCTTACACACTCATCGAAATAAGCCCAATACTATACCGATAACCAATAAATGGTTGATGAGCAAGCAGCCAAAAATTTATAAATCTATCTTTTTAAATTGTACTCGTACAGCGGTTTTTCTGATATGTACGGACAGCTGCATGCCCAATTTTGAGGTACACTGTATACCGATGAGATTGCTTTGAGATCGCGAAAGATGAGAATTTGTCACCTTACATATAGCTAAACGAATACATTACTACGGTGGAAAGGGTCAAAATGCAATGAAATGTAACGGAAAATAACGCAATAATAAAGTTTCCTCTCATTCGCACAGCTACAATACATTGATCAATATTCAAATTTCCGTATCATGGAAAACCATTAATATCAGCTCTCGCCAGTATAAAAAGGACGTGAATAAATTTGAATTGATTTGTATATAAATACAAATGAGATGGCAGTTTAAAACAAGGTCTAAGAATAGCTTCCAAAAACTTTCAGCTGGAATAAAACCAGAATTTATGATTTCTGCCATGAATTCGTTTGACCGATAGATTTCATGTTGTTTACAGATCGCCCACGTTTGGATGCGATCAACAAATATGTTTGTGCGTTATTGACGCACTCGGGCTATTCATGACTCACATTCTCGTCTTTACTCAGCCGCAATATAACCAACGCACATTCTCGAATGATGTACTGACTTGAATCAAGGAAAGCGGAAGATATATGGAGCTACCCATAATGCAATCCAGGTTTAACTTTATGATCAAGGTGTCCTTTCACAAATGCGGCGTTTCTTGATTATGAACTGCTAACTAGTCAGTTTGCATCGTTTTGTCTTGTGGATTACCTTATAAATCAAACAAGGTATTCCATGAAGAAAAAAACTATTAGATTAATATTAGTAACCTATTCAGGTCATATAATTTCTGATATCGTTGATTTATGATACTCGTTCATTAGGGAAAGTAAAACTCAGTTTCCTTTTAAAACAATCCAAATTGAGATGAGTGTTGAAATCAATTTGGTTGTCGGTTTCGTTTTTCATCAGGAAGGTTTATTTTAATGGCACAAGAGAGAAAAAAAATCCCATGCTTTTTCACAACAAGAAATAGTCCTCTTCCTACACTGCATAAAATAAATTTGTCGAACATCTTATGTAATTTGTATGGCCACTTTTGTTTATTAATGCAGTAAAAGCAGTGTAACGTCAATTCATGCAAGATGCAAAGCAGACCCCATACAAAGGGGTTTGAACTATGGACGATTTATCTTTAAGATAATTAAATTTGACAATTTAACCAGGTTTACATGCACTGTATTAATGATAATTTTGTCCTTTTTGGCAAGTAATATTACACCATATTTTTGACACGATTGAAGTGCATCCACTTTGATGTGATATCAATTTTTTTGCTTGCTGTGTAACACGAAGATACAATGTTTAAGGCAGAGATAGTAGAGTAGAGATTTATAGTATCAATTCCTTGTCCATCCTTATCAGAAGATATTCAAATACTGGAATCAATAAATTTAAAGGGATTACTTGTTGTTGTTGTTGTTGTTGCAACTATCAGAGCATTCAACAGTTACTGATAGCTCAAGCAAGACTTCTGCGGCAGATACAGGTTTCAGTGGAATTTTCGTACAGGTTCCACAAATTTGGAAACAGTTCTGCAGGTGGCGCCCATTTCACACCAACACCCAGCTCTCAATTGGACTCAATGCCTTTGACAAAACTGCACCGAACCAGTTCACAATGTACTAGACGCGTACTACTATTACCTCTTGGGTCCGAAAGGTTGTTCACTAGCACTGATACTGACGGTGCAAAACGTTTCGTGTTTGACCAATGGGATGACGCAACAGATCGACGATGATATCGCACAAATCATACAGCTGTTGTGCTTTTCCAAAATAAAAGTCACCTAACCGGTTGCAAAACCGAAAACGAAGAAGCATCCAGTCTAGATTGAATGTTGATATGTTGGACCGAATAGCGAATCGGAAAGTTACGCTTGAAGACCTTTACTGTGCTGATCATCACAATTTTCCATGGAAAGATTTTAACTGAATAGTCTGACTATGCTAAACAAATAAATTCTATGCTACGCTAACAAATACAAATAAAGGTTGAACACGAAAAAATCCGGACACGAAAATCTTGTTAGGGTTTAAAAATGCATTTTATTTTTCATAGATGTATGTAACAACTATACATTAGTAGGTATTATGCTTATTGTTAGACCATTGCTTCAGTCTTCCTTCTTACCATATACCATTGCCCGAACTTTTCTTCGTACACGTTCCCACTTGTTTGGCTGCCAAATTCCATTTTCGCTTGAAATCCTCCAGGTCAATTGCAGTTCCACCCTTTTTCTTCAATATGTGCTTCACAATTGACAATTGACTTTAGTTCTTCTTAGGAGCCACTGTGTCGCCATTTTCGCTGTACCACTGTTTGGTGGAATTTGAGTAGTGTCAGCTTGCCAAGTCCGGTCAGAGTAGACAATCCACCTCATGCTGCTCCAGAAAAGGCAGTAGTCTCTTCCGTAGGCAATCTTGCTGGTAAATTTGCTGGTTCATGGTCCCAGAAGTAACGAAAGTTTCGCTTTTCAGCCCACAACTGCCGATTGCTCGCCATACAAGGAACTTTTTGGGGAATTTCGCTTGCTTTTTGATTTTATATTCTTCGCTCAAAAATTTGATCGAAAACTGCAGGATCGAATCGTGACGCGCTTGCTCCGGTAAAGCTATTATGTAAATAAATGAACTTATACACTCTTAGTTTGATTCAGTTAAATTAAAAAAAAAACTTCACAAATGCCTTAATGTTAGCGTTTTTAATATGTCCGTATTTTGTCTTGCTCAACCACCCAAGCAACACAGAAAACATCGTCAATTATTTTACTTTTTTTTTAGTTGCCCCGAAATCTACGAGAAATACAACTTGATACTAAACTGTTTAAAGTATGTTAATTGATTTACTTTAGGTCACAATAATGAAACTTAAGTACTGCTTGGATGACCTCTCAAATTATGCATCAAATGGGAGGAGCAAAAATGTTACACTTTAATTTATATGAAGTTATATGCTACGTGATATTGTATGAAACACTTGAGCAACAAATCTAACTTGTGTTGTATTTGTTTATCGAGAGTTCCACAAAACATTAAGTTTTTTGAAACATGGTTGCAACAAAGTGTGAATGATATGTTTTTTTGTATCTGTTGATCAACTGTTTTGAGATGTTAGTAAAGAGTTAACGAACCAAGATGTGATTAAGAACCTATTTGCAATCTCGTTATGAATCTTTAAGTATTCAAACCTCGTTTTGCAACCAACTGGATCAAGTTGTTACTATAAAGGTTTGTTGCGACCATCTAGTATCTACCATGGCTCAAATATGTCATGTCGCTTTGATTTTGTAAAACACTTTTGGACTACATTGACAAAGGCAAATAAATCGTAATGCATGGGCTAACATCTGCACAGGAAATAGGACTAGCAATTAACAATGGTGAGGAAGATCACGATGAGGACGATAAGATCACGGACGGCGGAGGATGGTGGTAACTAACGTGAACTAAAGCAAAAACGATAGCCACAAAAGCAAAATAAATTTTTTTTGAACCCCATAAATCAAAAATATTTTCAATCGTTCAAGCAATAGCTTATACAAATAATGATAAACACAACTGGAAAAGACGCCGCGAAGCCGTCCGGATGGGTCCGGGTGACACATTTTCACCACCTCCAGCTCCTAGGCTAAATATCAGCAGATCCGTTGCGCATTCCAAAGGGATCCTCGACTGCAGCTATCATATTAGCACCGGTGAACGAGAATGCGGCAGCTCCCTCGCTAGCAGCATTTCAATCAGCGGAAAAGTTGAACGCCGTCGGAGGTGATGTTGCAGCGGTTCCGAAAAGTCTTGTAGCTTATATTTGCCGGAACTGCTAGCGAACTGGAAACTGCACCAGCGGGCGATTGCCAGAACTAGAGGATTCTAACGCCGAAATTGATTGCTGCTAATGGAAGAGCTGCACCGATCGCTCATCACTCGATGCCGCATTCTACTGAAAAGTGACGTTTAAAGCACGCACATACTCAACTAACTTTATGATTGTTCAAACTACGCATTTGCTACTTATCTTCAACATAACTGGGACATGGATACCATCGATAATACGTAATGGTGCCACTTTGTTGACAAACCGTTGCAGTTTAATAAGAAACATTAAGTTTAATATTCATTCATCTACAACGCAAAAAATACTTGTTATAAACTTTCATTATGTCTTGAAAAATAGCAACCTTATTGTAACGTACTATTTTACATTTTTGCAACAGCTCAGTGACTTAAATTATATCTGGATGAAACGTACACTATCGGCCAAATTCATGTTGCTATAATGAAGAATGTTCACAAATATTCCAAACATGTAAAAATGAATCAATTCAGAATTTTTTACTTGATATTAGTT